GGCATTCCCATCACACTTAAAAAGGAAGAACTATGTGGATTGGTTGATATGTTAGTTCACAATGCACACATGCATGAAAACATCCTTTCAGCCTATATACAGTTTATCAATTATTTCTCAAGGAAGATAATAGAAAAGGAGGCATAATTACTCATGAAGGAAAAAACTTCAGGGCCAGTGAGATGGTTCAGTGAGTAAAGGTGCTCCTTTTGTTGACCTGAGTTTGACCCCTGGAACTCAGAGTAGAAGAAGCGAACTGACTCCCCAAAAAGTTGTCCTCTGACCTCCATACAAAAGCCAATGCATGCACGTAACAGCACTTTCACATACATATACACACATATTGATAACAAATAACTTTGTAAAAGAGGGGACCGGAGGGGACTCTGTAATTAAAGACCTTATCAACCAATTAGATTAAGTTATATCTCATTACAAATTTAGAGCTAATGGACTATGCAATAATTATATAAACAATAATAATTAAATCTCTGAGACAAATAATGCTATATGTATATAAACCTAAGGAAATACATTCAAATACATGTCCAATAAAGCCCTGGAGAGGAAGTGGATCCATATAATAAAAACAGATTGAACTTACTTCTTTCAATAGCTGGTGGAACTAGAGCAGAAAAAAAAAACAGAATACGAAAGATTACATACCAGTCTCAAGCAGGCTGCCCTCATGGATGTGTACAAGAACACTGTACCCAATAACTGTAGAAAACACATCAGTTTTACATACACACAACACTCATGGAAAATACAGGGTATTCACTGATCCTAATGTGGCCAGACAAAGAAACTATTAAGGATGCCCTAAATGTAGAGACAAAAGAGTGAGAGTTGTCATCATGGAAATGAATGAAAGAATAAAACTCACAGGTAAAGGAGATGCACAGATGAAGCTGGGAATAGAATCAAATTTTATCACTGTGGAAGACCACCAAACCATAAGGCTAAAGAGTGTGAGAAATAAGGATATGCCATGAGATCACAAAGTAACTGAGAAAATGACTGAATCAAGTCCTCACTTACTAAAAAGGACCTTGAATGAAAATGGACTAATATTTGTAATTAAAAGACAATGCAGTTGAGTGGATTTTTAAAAAAGATTTGTCAATATTCTCCTTACAAGAAACTCCATTCACTAGTAATGATACATCCAGATGTACATAAAAAGCTAAAAAGAGAGATTCCATACAAACAGAAATGAAAAGTGAGCAGAAGTAGCTATATTTTCATCAGGAAACACAGACTTTAATTTTAAAACTATAAAAGGAGATGTGGTCACTGTATAGTTCTAATAAATAGATCATTGACCAAGAGGAAGTAGCAATAATAAATAACTCATATATGCATTGGGTCTACAGCATCCAATTCCACTACACAGCAAATGGACTTAATAGACATTTACCGAACATTTCATCAAATACACATTCTTATCAGCATAGGGAACATTCTCAATGATAGACCAACAAAAACTATTAAAACTGATAGGTAAATTAACTAATATTGGAATACATAACATCAAGACAGAAAAGTAGCATTTTATATATCAATAATACATTTGATGAGAAAAGCAATCATAATTACCATAGTCTTTCTCTGCATTCTTTTATTCTCTCTTTTCTATACATACACACACACAAACACAGAGGAATACATTTAAATTATATGGTGTAGGCTACAAAACAAGACCTTGTTGCAATAAAATAAAATAAGCAAAAAAATATATAATAATAAACCAATAAGATGAGCATGGTAGCATGCAGTGGTATTCCCAGTACTTTGTAGGGTGAGGTAGGAGGATCATGGGTTTGTGGTCGCCTGGGTTACAGAGCAAGACCCTATTTCAAACAAAACAAATGGCCAAATAACCTGACTTAAAAATGGGCAAAAGGCTAGATATCTCTCATCTTCACACAGATACTATCTCATCTCAGTTGGAGCAGACATCTTTAAAAAGGCAAAAAGTAACAAATACTGAATGCTGTGGAAAAAAGAGCTCTTAGGAATGATGGTTAGGGATGTAAACTAGTATAGCAATTATGAAAAATAGAATGGAAGTGCCTCAAACAACAAGAAGTGGAACCATGATAGAAAACCAATAACGTTAATATTGTATATGTTCAAAGGAGCTGAGATCCTTGCATCAAAGATACACCTGCATACACGCTTATTGCAGCAGTATGTACTACTCTCTACACCCAACAAATGAAATCAATGAAGATGCCTGTCAATAGATGACTGAAGTTTTCAGTGTGGGATGTAAACTTGATGGAATATTATGCAGCCATGGAAAGAATGAAGCACATCATTTGTAACAGCGCTAATGGAACTAGAATACATTATATTGGGTATAAGACAGGTGGACAAAGGAAGATGCCACATGTTCTCCTTCATCTATGAAAGAGAAAAAAGTTGATCACACTGAAGAACAACAATGATCATTATGAGATAGAAGTAAAGTGGCAAGGGAAATGGAGAAGAGTTGGATAACAGATGCCAACATTTGGCTAGATAGAAGAAATTAGTTCTCCCAGACAACTACAGTCTATGACAATTTGTTATATGCCTCAAAATAAGTGGAGAAGAGTTTGAAGGCCCCTAACACACAAATAATAGTATGTACTACCAGTCACACAATTTTGATTGGATGATATGATCATTAAAGTCCTCAAATGACCATACTGCATCACATAAGTATAAATAGATATCAATTAAAAATAAATTAATAAAATTAAAAATTGATTTAAAAGGAAAACAACTTTGAGGGAAAGATACATAAACAACAACAACAGCACACAAACAACCAAGTACATGAGAGAATGTTCAACCCAATCATCTAAAACCGCAAACTAACTCTCCAGGGAAACACCAAATACTCGTTAGAATGTTGGAGTAAATAGAAATCTCAGATGCTGTTGGTGGGAGTATAATATGATACAATCATTTTTTAAAAACATCAGGCATTTTCTTTTAAAACTTAACTCTCATCTGTGCTATTGTGTAATATTTCACCCCTGCTCCTTCACCCAAGAGAACGGGAAACATAGGTTCATAAAAGACCTAACCAGAACATTCACACCAGTTTGCTCATGCATGACAAATGAAAACTCAAACCAACCCAGGTATCCATATACAGCAGAAAGCAAAACAAAGTGATTACTACAGAAGAATACCACTCAGCAACAAGAAGATTAAACTACTTCTTATCACAACATGGGTGAATATAAAAGCACTGGCTAGAAACAGTAATGGGCAAGACTATATGAAGTTCTTGAGCACGCATTATGCAAGAAAGATGAGCAATGGTTACCTCTTGGAGAGTTGAATATGGATGTGAAGAACTATGAAGACTGTCTTGGGACTAAACATTTATGTCTTCTCCAAATGTCTGTGTTTAAAGCCGAAGCCCAATATAGTGGTATTTGAGGAGGGAGCCTTTGGGAAGCAACTGGGCCATGAGAATTAGGCCCTTCAGAACTGGATTAGTGTCCAGAAGCTTCCCCATCTTGTGTCATAGTAGGAACAATGAGAACATGGTAGTTTGCAACTCAGAAAAGGACCCTCCCTAGAATTCACCCCTGCAGGCACCCTGATCTTTGGTTCTAGCTTCCAAAACTGGGAGCAGCCACTGTCAATGAAAAACAGTTATAGATCTGAACCAGTAAGGACTAGGGTAATGTTGGAGGTAATGGTGACATTCTGTATCTCACTCAGGCATCATGGATATACACAGCTGGCAAAATTCCGAGAAAACACAGGTAAGATATGTGCATCTCATTGTCCATATTCTTATGGCAAAAGAAAAAGCGATCAGTCAACTGAATGATGGCCAATGGTACCCATGCCAAAGCATTCAGAGGAAAACAGCTCCAGGTTAATTTAACATGCATCAAAACCAGCATGATTAAGAAGTGGTTAGGGAGATGAGCATACATGTGTATAATAAAATGATAATGGTCAAATATTGGTGGTCAGTACACAGGTGTTATGCTCAAAAAAACTTTTTTAAAGTATTCTGTCCTTGTATAATTTTAAAGCAAGATTTTATAAAACAGTGCTTTTAATAGAGCATTGAAAATTTCTATACAACAAATTGTATTTTATATTTTGAAAGTAAAAACCTAATCTGCTTAATGACAAATATTAGTCTTTGATACATGTCCAAATTAAGCAGCAAAATGCTTTCAGACAAGGAAAAACATTTATTCTAGCCAGGCACGGTGGCACACAATTGCATATCCAGCATCCAGGAAGCCCAGTCAATAGAAGAGTAAGTCTGAGGCAAGCCTGAGCTACATAGCAAAAACCTGTCTCAAAAATAAAACAAAACAAAAGCCTCACCCAGAACAAAACTTATAGATCAATGGGTATAGACTCTTGCCACCAAGCCTTTGGACCTGACAAGGTAGAGGACTAAATTGACCCTGTGACTTGTCCTCTGACTTCCACACAAGAGTCCTGGGGAAGCTGTGCTCATGTATGCACACACAATAACTTCTAAAAAGTAAAAATGAAAAGCAAATCCAACAATAGACCTTTAGAAAGATCATTAGCCTTTGACTAAGAAAAAAAGTAAACAGGTTTCTTTTTCTCTTCGGAGTTGATTCAGTTGATTTATGTCAGCATATTTTGTTTTAAGGAGATAACTGCAAATATTCAATTATTATAATTTACCCCAGGAAGTCTCAAGCAGAGCTCATATTTTATAAGTTTCATGCGTCTACATACGTTCTAGGAATTTTTTTAACTTGTTAAAGAGAATTAGTTTTTAAGATATAATTTTTAATAATTTGTAAACTGTTACATATAAATTATCACAGGGATACTAAATATGAGACTTGCAAAATAACATGAGTATTTTGTTCCTTTGACTAGCAAACACTACTTCTAACTAACATGTCCATGAAGCTCTGCTTGTGTATATTTACATACTCTTAGATTTGCAAAGCTCTCAAGCATGAGTGCTCTGCCGGGTCATACGTTACCTCCAGTATAGGGTTTCCAGTTATAATGCTTTCCCCGGAAAGGCATATTGTCAAAGTCTGCACACTGTTTTTCTCGAAAATCTCGGGAACCCAAAGGGCATGGCTAAAATAAAATAAAATCATAAATGGTACCATTGTTGTAAAATACCAAAACCAAGGGACAGTGTCCCTAAAATTTGTATTTACTGACCACCACCCTATCTCCTCTGGGCTTCATCTGACTTTTGTTTTACCAGTCTACAATAAAAACTCACACTGGGGTGTCCAAGTTGTAAATCTAGGTGAAAAAAAAATGACCATGGTGACTTAAACTAAGCTCTAGAAAGCTGCCATGGGACTTGACATGTTTCATAGCCGTTACACCTCCTTACAGAGACACATGGAAACCAGACAAGAACCTAGACCAAAAGACCCCTTGGTAATAATGTCTGGAGCCCAGGTGCCATAGCTCGCTGTAGATTTACTTCAGGCACCAAGACGCACAGCATTGAGATGGCATCTAGCTTGTAAATTGCCATTTGTACCCCGATCACTGCAGATGCTTCCGGATGAAAACCAGAAGTCAAACTGGGAAAAATGCTAGGATTCAACTCCAAGCACCTTCAAATCAAGGGCTTTGGACTTATTAAAGTGTAAACTTCACATTGTAACATCCCAGAAAATGAAATGGCTCATTGGTACCAAATATGCACATGTTTTTAGGGAGAAAGGAAATGGTGAGGAAACAATGAGTGGTTATAGAAGTTTGGAATGTTTCCTTTACCTGAAAAATTTAAAGAGAAAATCCTGCCAGTCTAACTAGGTCTAAATTATAAATGCCACAGTCGTCCTTTACTCAACTCTAAGTACAAAGATTGAAAGTATATCATCTCATGAAGTGTTTCAGCAATAGGACAATTTGATTCATCTTTTAGATTTCTATAACATTGCAACACTTAAATAATAAAAAAAAGCTATAAATTTTGAAACACTGAGAAAACTTTCCACTTGAACATAGAACAGAATATATCATGTAAGAACAAGATAGGAGGAAGATAATGTTGGATATCCAAGCCAGGGCACTGTAGATGCTGGGTGGTGACAGTACGTCACTGAACCACACCCCCAGTCCAGGAATACTTAGCTCAGAATGACAAATAAATGGCAAGTGAGTTACAGGCATCCTCAGAGACAATCTTGAGGACCTTCTTAGCACCTCCCTTAGACATCTTCCTTTGTAGATCTTTGTACAGTGTCCAAGATCAGTAAGTAATAGTAAATAGTTTCTATGAAATGTGTGAAAGTAATAGACCATGGTGTGCAAATATTTACATGGCTGTCATTACTTACTATAGGCTATGGCTCAAATTTTTTAGCATATGAAGTCCAAAGCCTCAGATTTTAAAATAGTGGCAGCAGCTGTACATTATGTTAAGCACCTCAAATCTTTAAATGTACTCAGTATAGTGGAATACACCACCAATTCCAAAGCTAAGGCTTCTTTCTGTGTAATTACTCTTTTGCCTACTTTTAGCAAGTGTGTCGTGTTATGCTTGCAAGCCCTTCTTTTCATTGTTTGCTAATATTTGGATCTTTGAAACACTGACATGTGACATTGCTACATGACATCCTTTTACATTGCTACATGACATTGTCATCTACAAAGTTCATGGTCAAGAAACAATCATACTATAATACATACAATCAAACTACAAACAAACAAAAACCTGCAAAAACAAAAGACAAAAAAAGTCACAATGTTTTAAATGTTTATGATTTGGGGAGGCCATAGTCATAGCTGTCATTAGTTATATATGTCTGATAAACATGGTTGAACCTAGTAAGAAATGTTTTCTTTTCCAACCTATTTTCCCTTTTTTAAAGACTAGTTTTTATGTATAATTATGTGTATGTGTTTAAGGGAGCAAGAAAATATGCACATGAGTGTAGGTAAACAAGAATGCCAGAAGAGGGTGCCAGATTCCCTGGAGCTAGAGTTACAGTTGTGTGAGTCACCCAACATGGGTTCTTGAATTGTACTCAGATCCTCTGCAAGAACAGCACATGCCCTCAACCACTGGGACATCTCCCTCGTCCATTTCTAAACTATTTTCAAAGACTCTTTCATGAGAGCTAAAGTTGTCTGTCAGTGGTTTTACCAAGCACCAAATCTGTTTTTAAAGCAAATACCAATTTTAAAAATATATGTAATTTGAACTGCAGATACAAGTTTTCATCTACAAAAGTACCATCCACTTAAAAGTTTTGTCCAAGCACAGTTTTTAATCTAGTTGAAAAGACCAGATTGAGGTGGGAAAAGGACATAACTATTTCAGGAAATATAAATAGCAAACAACAATGTCTTACAGTTTGTCTATAGGTGTTGTATGTGTGAAAGACCACCGTGCCATGTAATAAGTTATGAAAATACTGAATTTGAAAAAAAAAAACTTTGAATGTGTCCTAAAGTATGCAACTGAGATAGTTAAGAAATAAAAAGGACTTGAGGAGATTATTAAGGTTGTGCTGGGGGGTTTATTGAGAGGGAAGCCAAGTGAAGCCATGCAGGCAGGAAAGAAAAGATTATGTGTTCTGAATGGTGGAAAAGACCATCCTATACCAAAGGTAGGAACTGTACAAGAACCCAAGGAGAAACAACAGCTTTTCCGTAAACACCAGTACAAAACTCTGAGTTAACACATTAAAGCATTCACTGAATGCAAAACTAAAAATGCTGCTTTCCAGTATGTTCTGAGGACCCTTTAAAATGGAGGAAAAGCAAATAGTCAATAAAAGGAGATGCTGTTTAATGAAGCACCTGGATGATATTACATGAAGTTTCTTACCTATTCCTTTCTTCTGAGTGCCACTCCTAGAGTCAGCTACAATAAAATTAAGTCACTGTTGAAAACGCCACTTAACTAGTTCTAAGAACACTGTGACAGACTTCAGAGGTCTTTAGGTGTGTTGGCTACTTAATCCCTAATAGCACATTATGAAGTAATCATAATCATTTTATAATGAAAGAACTGGGAGTATAGAAAGGTTGACTCATAAAAAATTTCAGGGTATGAGGATACCCCCTTCACCTGAATGGGAACACCCTCTTGATTCACTCCAAATGATGCAACAGCATAGGCTTACTATGTAATAAAATGGTCATGTCGGTGCTGCAATAGAAGTACTTACAAAAGGAAGAGACAGGGCAGATTGGATCAGTGTTTGAAACAGCAAAGAATCATATCTGTGAAGAACTGCTGTGAGAGGCGATGGAATACTGTTTGAACAGATATTTAGTCTTGATCTACAATTATCCCCAAATCAGTCACCCAATTTGTAGAAACACAAACAGAAGGACAGACATACATTTTTTCAGAGAGCTACAACTCTTAGCAACTTCCTTACTTTCCACCAGAACTTGCCTTTCTACAACCAAGTGGTTTTTATTCTTTCTTCTGAATCTATACAGATCTTCTTAGACTGAATGATACCCAGGCCTTGATAAGTTTCTTCTATGTACATACTAATTAGCCAGTAGTCTTCTTAAAACAAGTGACAAAGAACTGGACTAGGTTCACTTAACAAGTGTTTATATGTTGTATAATACGTTCAGATAAAATCTAGGGTTTGGGAATTACAGGGAAAAATAAAACCTTAAATCACTGCTTTCAGGAAACTTACTGTAGTTTGACATGAGAGGGGTGAGGAGACAGAGTGGAGAGGTCGGGAGTGAGGTGAGAGGGGAGTGAGGTGAGAGGGTAGTGAGGTGAGAGTGTAGTGAGGTGAGAGGGTAGTGAGGTGAGAGGGTAGTGAGGTGAGAGAGAAGCTGTTTGAAGCACGAGGAAGAGTGAGAAGAAGCCGAGAGGACTGAAGTGCAAATGCCCTGAGGCAGAATCATGGATGCTTTCACATAATGGTGTGTGTGGGCGGGGGTGCTTAAGAGGCTCTGGATAGAACTGTTTCCATGTCTTTGTTTCTAGATGCTCTGATTTCAGTTCTCCCCAGTGAATGCTCTGGATATGTGAAGCTAAGCACAAATCACATTTGCTGGTTTGGAGAGTGGTCAAAGAGTAATCGAAGGAAGGTAATTTCTGGAAGAAATTTGCAAAACCTATTTTTGTTTAACTTTTAAAAATGGAGGGTTTAATACGTAGTGTGTTTCTTAGGTGACTTAAAATGATAATATCAACACTGTCCTAAAGCCAGTACAGAAAACTATGTGAAAACTAATCTAGCATCCTCTCCCCATACCAACAAGTAGGGTCCTATGGGCCCAAGAGCAATGCCACAGACCTCAGCCTCCAGGGTTTGTAAGTATTTTCAAATTAAAAACAATAACAACAAAATCTTTATCACCTTTTTTCCAGATCTGTAGGCATTAACACATTTTATACACTATATTACACTTTCAACTATTTGGATATGTAAGCATTTCCTTTCGCCTAAACATAGCACATTTTATTGGTAGATCAATCTAGAAAGAATGCTGATCTACTGACTGGGTGTAAAAATTGCTACACAGGAGTTTCAGTGCCTGCTGGCAAACTTGGAAGTGGCATTTCTGTTATAAGACTCTAATACTGGTTTTGTCTCTGGGAAGAGGGTAACCTTGGCAATTTGAGTCCCTTTACATCTTTCTTTCATTTGTAAAATACACTTCAATGCCCTAATCTTAAAGAAAAACCCATCCCAGATGTATGTCTTATTGGACACTGAGTGAGAAATGGGCTGAGAGTGAAACCCTTTCTTTCCCCTCTCCTCTCCAGACCCTGAAGGAAACTGGCAGAATGGACGGCATCGATTTCCACATCATCAGACATAAGTAGGAGAGCTGCTCCACTCTTCTGTGCCACTACTTCCCCACATTTTACGTTTCTCTCCTTTCTGTGTGCATGTCAAATACACACCTGCTTCACTCTTACTACACTGGACCAGCTTTCAACACTCTCAGAGGCTTCCTTCTTCAGGAGAGCAGCATACTCTGCTTGAAACCCAAATGCTACTCTACTTAGCAAGTAATGCATATGGCAAGCTAGTGTGAAGCATGGACACATTTGATTGTCTAGCACATCAGACATCTTTGTCTATATTACATAAAGATATGGTACAGGCTAATAGAGGTAT